CTTAATGAAGGTATGTAGAAAACTAGGGTTTGAGGACAGGTCTTATTTTGTGGATCCTTTGGGCACCAAATGAGGTCTTTTGTTGTTATGGGACTCTGAGACCTAGATTTTGAATATCAGAAGTTCAGAATTTTGCATCCAAGTCCAGTACTCTATGTCCTAGTCTGAGTTCCCTTGCTGGATCACTTATGTCTACATGAACATAGACAAAGAAATCATAACTAACCAATGGGGAATGCTAGAACATGATAAGTATGAATGGGGAGATTACTGGACAATTTTGGGTGATTGGAATGACATCACTACTCAAGAGGATAAAAGAGGAGGCAGGATGAGGCCAGCTACCAGCTTCCTTGCATTCAACAGTTTCATATCTTCAATGGGAATGGATGAAATCCTAATGACAGGATACCATTACACATGGGGCAACAACAGAGATCAAAGAAGGCTATGTAGAGAAGAAGCTGGATAGAGGCTTTGGATCTTTATTCTGGATGGCCAAATTCCCTCATGCTCAGATAGCAAACCTATACAGAAGTGCTTCTGACCATGGAGTCCTTATGCTGGATGACAAAGTGCATATAGTCAAGAAATCCAGAAGATTCACCTTTGACAAAAGGTGGCTCCATAGAGCAGACTGTAAAGAATGTGCTAAAGGCATGGTCTATCCCGCAACAAGGCACACCTTTCTTCAGACTAAAAGAGAAAATTAAGAAAACTATACTGGCACTCTCCAAATGGAGCAAATTATTCAGATCAGAGCAGAAGCAGGAAGTGGAGTCTCTTACTTTGAAACTGGAAGAAATGAGATAAATGGGTGAAGGGAAAAACTGGGAAAATGGGAAATTATCTGAAAGGAGCTGGAACAGGCTCACACCTCAGAAGAACTTTATTGGCAGCAGAAGTCAAGGGTCCTATGGCTGAAAGATGGAGATCAAAATACTAGCTTTTTCCATGCATATGCCATGCAAAGAAGAAAGAGAAATGCCATCTCAAGACTTATTGCTGCAGACAACAGAGTCTGTGAAACTCAGAAGGAGATTGCCAAAGAAATTTCCAGTTACTACCAGTATCTTTTTACCTCTGAGGGCACACAAGGATCTCTAGAAATCACTCAACACATCCCTCACTTAATCTCAGCTGACATGAATGAAAAACTGCTCACCCCTATTTCAGAAGATGAAATCCAAAAAGCTCTTTTCCTTATGAACCCACTAAAGGCACCTAGTGAGGATGGAATGACACCACTATTCTTCCAGCACTTTTGGCCTATTGTCAAAGAAGACCTTTGTGCTGTAGTTTACAACATTTTCTCCTCAGGACAAATCTTAAGGTACTGGAACCACACCCTTGTTAACTGGTGCCTAAATGTTTGAATCCCACTTCTATCACCTAGTTCAGGCCCATAAGTCTATGTGGGGTAGTCTACAAGGTGATTTCCAAGGTCCTTGCATCTAGATTAAAAGAATGCCTTAACTCCTGCATCAGTCAATCACAAGGAGCATTCTTACTAGGGAGGAACATTTTGGATAACATAATCATTGCTCAGGAGGCCTTCCACTATCTTAGTAGACACAGAACAGGCCCTCATTGTCTTATGGCTCTGAAATTGGACATGCTGAAAGCATTTGATCGAGTGGAAGGGAGCTGCATCAGAGACATTATGCTTAAAATGGGATTTGATTCTTCATTCATCAAGTGGATTTTAGCATGCATCACAATCACCTCCTTCTCCTTTCTGGTTAATGGTGAACCTGTGGGCTATCTGAAACCTTTAAAGGGCTTAAGGCAGGGGGATTCTCTGTCCCCCTACTTATTCCTCATTGTCTCAGAGGCTTTTTCAGCCCTCATTCACTTTGCACTGGCAGCTGGTACATTCAAAGGCTTAAGAACTGCTAGCAGTGGCCCAACTCTCTCTCATCTGCTCTTCGCAGATGACTCTCTGGTCTTCTGCAAAGCTACCTCTGACCAGGCATTGAACCTCATAGAAATTCTCATAAAATACCATCTCTTCTCAGGGAAAAGGGTTAACATGTCAAAATCAACTGTCTTCTTTAGCAAGAACACTGACTGCAGCACCAGAAGTAGCATATGTGATATTCTTGCTGGCATAACTCCACAGACATCTACTAGATATCTTTGACTCTCTCTGGGGATTGGAAGATCCAAAAAAGAGGCTTTTGACTATGTGTTGCAAACAGCCAGGAAGAGGCTGGTTAATTGGAAGAACAGGTACCTCTCAACTGCAGACAAAAAGGTTCTCATAAAGGCAGTCCTTAACTCCTTGCCAGTCTATGCAATGTCTTGTTTCATGTTACCAGCTGTAATCTGCAAGGAGTTGGCCAAAATAATAGCACATTTCTGGTGGAGCAAGGGCAAAGAAATGGAGAAAGGACTACACTGGAAAAGCTGGATATTTTTATCTATTCCTAAACAGAATGGTGGGTTAGGCTTTCAAGACTTCACTCTCTTCAATATGTCCCTTATTCTCAAGCAATTGTGGAGGATCACCACAAATCCCCAGCTCTTGGTTAGTCAACTTCTTCAAGCTAGTTATTTCCCAAAATGCTCTATCATTGAAGCAAAAAAGAAACCCTCTGCGTCGTGGATGTGGAACAGCTGGCTAGCTCTACTTCCTACTTTTAAACAAGGAATATGGAAAGAAATCCCAAGTGGGCAGGAAACTGAGATTCAAGACCATGGCTGGGTCCATAGGTTGGGACTCCTTCCTCCACAAAGAACTGCTGATGGACATAACCTAATCCTTGTCAAGGAACTCATGGATAATAGTGGCAGAGGCTGGAACATTGACCTTGTCAAAGAGATGTTTGCTGAAGAAGATGGTCAGACGTCCCTTAATCCAGGCCTGGAAGATAGATGGAGATGGAGATTTGACTCTAAAGGTGGGTTCTTTGTGGCTGCTTCTTACTCTCACTTAATTGAGCTAAAATTGAGAACTTTAGACCTGGCTGAAGGTAGTAACACTGGAAAACTTGATGTTTCTGTGAGGCAAAGAAGCTGGAAACTGAAGATTAAAAGCAAGCTCAAGCACTTCATATGGAAATGCTTCACATGGACACTTTCAGTTTGTGAGAATCTCAGGAAAAAAGGACTTGATATTGATCCAATTTGCAGGCATTGTGGAGATGCTGTTGAATCCATTGAACATGCCCTGCTCAGTTGCACAAGAGCCCAACAAGTATGGAAGCAGTCACATTTATCATGGGATGGTATTGCCATTGATAACTGCAATTTCAAGAGCTGGTGGTGGCAAGTATGCTCAATCAAAAAGTCAAAGATCTCTGAGGTTAGAATTCAGCTCTCAACCTATATACTCTGATGGCTTTGGAGATCTAGGAACGTGTGGCTCTTCAATCAGGATCTTATGCCAAAAAGAGTCATTGTAAGCAGGGATCTTTTGGAATGGCAAGAATTATGTGCTGTAGCAGCTCCACAAAAACCTTCTTCAGGTCCCTCAGTTTGAGTGTACTTCTGCAAGCTGGAGTTGCCGCGTACTTATCTCTGCATGTCGGTTAGTATATTTGTTGGTGTAATGCTGCTTCTTCTTTTTCTAGTTTTTGGTGTAGCAGTCAGTTTCTTGCTCTTATGTATTGTTCTTTCTTCTTGTTTCGAGTGTAGTATGTTTTTAGCTGTTGGTGCCTGTTTAGTTTGTTTCTGTCTAATTGTGTTAGATCAGTTTGGTGGATTCAAAGTTAGTAATTTCTAGTATTTAGCTAGCTTCTAGCTCTTGATGAGTGGTTGGTTAGTTTAGCGTACTTTCTAGTGTTGCTCTCAGTCTCATGCGGTCTCGGGGATGCCCCGTTTGTAATTGGATACTTTCTTAATTTATGAGATATCTATCGTTGGACAAAAAAAAAAAAAAAAAAAAGNATATCATCGTATTTATAAATAAAGTGAAGCTTTTTGAAAAAAAAGATAATATTTAAATACATTTTCAAAAAAGTGTCATTATTTGTATAAAATGGGAGACACTATTTCATAAATTGTCATAAACTAGCAATATTTTTAAATAAATGTCTCAAAACTAGTTAAATTGCGATATTTTTTTAAAAGCATTATTATTCCATTACACTTTTTAAAAAGTGTTGCAATTATTTTATTTTTGCAACATTTTTTAAAAAGTGTGACAATAACATTGGTTTTAGTTACACTTATTATAAAAGACATATGTTTATGTTGCAAGAAAGTTCTTTTTCTTGTAGTGAGCAGCCTATTTTAATTCAGAACAGAAAGTGTCATTTTCTTGTGTAGGCCCATTTGATTCGATCAAATAAAAGTCCGCTTTTCAGTTCCCTAACCACCCTTAAGATCCCATCAGTTTATTCGGGCTCATCGGACCAAATCATTGACGTCCGATCTTCCACGTCCAACACAAACCATTGGATCAATCATTTCTCCCTCCACAGTCCACACTCCTCTTGTATATAAAGCAGAGAGATGACCTGCCTGTGCTCGCCACGCTCACGTTAGGTCTCTATCAAATTACAAAATCTCTCTTCCGATCTCCCCATTGTTTAGGTAAGTACAAATTCTTGCTTATGCATCTCTTTCATGCTCGCATAACTGACGGTGGCGATCTGTTTGCAGTTAGCGGCGAAGATGGTGAAGAACTATCCGGCTGTGAGTGAAGAGTATCTGAAGGCCACTGAGAAATGTAAGAGGCAGCTGAGGGGCTTCATTGCCGAGAAAAATTGCGCTCCGCTCATGCTTCGGCTTGCGTGAGTTTTGGCCTTTTATGTGAATCATTGGATGTTTAATGCTGCATAACCTTGTTTTTGTTATTATATATTGATCTGTGGTTTGAGAAATGTTCTTGTTATGTCTGGATTTTGGTAAGTTAATGAATGTTGAACATATTTCACATTATCCTGAAATGTTAATTGATCCGATTCGTGCAATGTTTAGTGATTAGATTGTTTAATCCTGAAATGTTAATATTGCATTTGTTTTTCTATCATCATATTTTTTGTTTGGAATTTATATACTAATCTGCTTTTATGTGCATGATCTTTGGTCATTGGCAGCCTGTATCATAATAATATTTGTTCTGCCACTGCATTTTACCGCGGAGTTTTTGTGACATTCGCTTTTCACTGATTTGTGCACTTGCAACAGCTGTGAGTCACCTATATATATATATATATATATATATATGTATTAACGTTGGTGTCTTTTACATGATAAAAGTGATTTGTTCTTATTGATGTTTTTCTGACTTATACTCTTCCTTTAGCAGTGCTGTCATCACAGATATTAATTTACATGTATTTCTTGGCAGTTTTTCATCATATTGGAGAGATTTGTGCTAATATGTTCAAACACATTGCTGTCTATCACAGAAATGCGGTGCTGTTCTTGCAGGTGGCACTCGGCTGGTACGTTTGAAAAGAACAGCAAGACTGGAGGTCCATTTGGGACCATGAGATTCAAGGCTGAGCTAGGTCATGCTGCCAATAATGGCATTGACATTGCTGTTAAGCTGCTGGAGCCCATAAAAGAGAAATTCCCAATCCTATCATATGCTGATTTCTATCAGGTATTCTTTATCTCTCCAAGCGTGTTTCCATCACCTCAGCAGTACACGAATTGTAAGAGATTTGAATGTTGTGTGTTCTTCTGCAATACAGTTGGCTGGTGGTGTTGCTGTTGAAATAACGGGAGGACCTGATGTTCCTTTCCATCCCGGAAGGCAGGTTAGTGACAATATCTCTTTGGGTGGACAAATTAATGTAATGTGCATTCTTGGAACTTACTTTTTTGTAGTGCTACCTTGAAACCGTAATGCAGTTGCAATTACTCTTGGTGCTAGTTTTTTTATTGCATCCTATGGTGATTGTGTGTAGGGAGGATCTAATATGATATGTGTGATGTATTTCTTTGTTCATTTGATTTAGTACACCCTTTAACTCTTTAATTATTATTTTGGTTCATTTGATAAGGATGAAACTGGTTAGCGATTTAATCCTAATATTTAAATATTTGGTTTTGCAAAAAATAAGATTAGCATGGATACTTTGTACTGTTGTATAGGTACTTTCACTCTTTCATGCATTCTGTGTAATGGAAGTTGGTATTGTCAAGATTTGTCCTTTTAATGCTATTGCCTTTCACTCAGAATCCTTCTTAGGAAACTATTAGTGCTGCTTGCCTGTTTTCTCTAACAATGTTGTTTTTAAAATTAAAAGAGCTATAATTCTTTTTATTTGAAAATCTTGATTGTTTTGAAACCTTAGGATAAGGAGGAGCCTCCGCTGGAAGGCCGCTTGCCTGATGCAACCAAAGGTGAGTTTGAGTATCTTCTGGTTCTGCAGTTTTGTTTTTAATATGAAAAAACTAATAATAGTTTCACTCGATACTGGGAGATGCATCATATTATTTTATCTCTCATGGGTGATCTATTTATTCATTTGTTGTAGGATGTGACCACTTGAGGGACGTTTTTGTCAAACAAATGGGCCTGAACGATCAGGATATTGTAGCACTCTCTGGTGGCCACACTCTGGTTTGTATTTTTATCTTATTCATTTTTTCCTTGTGCCATCATCTGTAAATAATAGCTTTTTGATGACTTGCAATTGTGGAACGCTCTCTATCTACTGTAGGGAAGGTGCCACAAGGAGCGATCAGGATTTGAAGGAGCATGGACTTCTAACCCTCTCATATTTGACAATTCTTACTTTAAGTAAGACCTAGTAGTACTGTAGTAGTATGCTTTTTATTTTTTAGTCATATATCTGGAGCTTTTAGGATTGGTGCATCTTTCATTCTGGTGTTATATAATTCGATTTGTTAAAATAGGGAGCTTCTGAGTGGAGAGAAAGAAGGGCTTTTGCAATTGGCGTCAGACAAGGCACTTCTTTCTGACCCCGTTTTTCGTCCACTTGTCGACAAATACGCTGTGGTGTGTTTATTTTTTATGTCTCCAGTAATATGAAACCATTCTATTGTGTCTTCTGCTTTACATGATTTGTTTTTGAATTAGGATGAGGATGCTTTCTTTGCTGATTATGCGGTGGCTCACATGAAGCTCTCTGAGCTGGGGTAAGATCCCGTCTATGCCAATAGATTTTGTCTTCATCACCTTGTCAAGAGAAAAGAAAAAGAAAGAAGAAAAATACAAATGTTCTCTTAATAAAACCTTGATGCGTTTACAGATTTGCTGATGCTTAAGATATGTGCGGATTGAGGAGGAATGAGAAGGGATGGCCTGTTTCTTTTCTACTTCTTCTATGCTTTTCACTTTTTGATGGGTCCATTGGTGAGGCTTCGTTTCATGGATTTGTTTGATTTTTGACAATGTTGCTTGTGACACTAATCATTGTGATTGCCTTTTTGATTGATGAAAAATAAGTAGAAAGATGGATTGATATTACCCTCTAACATATTGGTGTTTAGCAAAGCACCAACTGTGATGGTTAACTTAAATCTGTTGAAAGCAGTTAATAATGCTTTAATGTTTTATCGTCTGGTGTGGTAAAGTTAATATTGTGATCTAAGAAATCGAGCAGTCAACTAAGATTTGCAACTGGAAGCATAAAACCTCGTAGAAGATAAGTCATGTGAAGCACTTTTGGGAAGTTCTATTGGATTAAATCCCATTTTTCACATCAGTTGAACCAAGCCTATTATGCATTTATGATTTAGTTTCTTGCAGTTGAACCAAGCCTATTATGCATTTATGATTAACTTGCTACACGTGTTATTAACAGTTATTTTATTGATTTCTACGTTGTTAACGAATTGAAAAAAATGTTTAATTTCTGTCTCCATTGCCTTTGTCCAACTACTTTTGTAAAACTAAACATTGTACGATATCAGTCGGTGATATAGTATATGGGTGGTTGGACCGGTAAATGGCATACTCTTTAATTAATGGGAAAATTTTACACCTACTACACGATATGAAAATATTTTCAAGTTTATCTTCATTGAACATATAATAGGAGATATACCTTATGAAGGTAATTTATTTATGAGATTGCCTTAATATCTGTTACCTTTGTAACGTCCTCTCTCCAACAAATTGTGGCGTGATTTCCGCCATGAACTACCAAAAAAAAAAAAAAAAAAATTGTCATCTTCCTCGACAAGTTATAGATCCCCGTCCCTATCGAAAAAAAATCCTTCAGAAAGTTCCCAAAAATTTTCATCTTCCTCAACAAGAAGGAGGCCACCAATTTTTCGGCAACGAGCAAGTCGTGCGAGCCGGCGATCCACGAGCACCAAAAAACCCAATTTCAGGCGAGGAGATTCGAGGACACCCGAGATGCACCAAATTCCGGTGAGTACCAAGAGCACCAGGCCATTCACGACGAGGCAGGCACACTCTGGCTGCAGCCCTCAGCCAAGATAGGCGCGCTTGCTTCGTGTGCGATAGTGGCCATGTTCCAAGACACGGTTTTTCCGACCACAAGCCCTCGGAAGTCAAGCGAAGCCTGAGACATTCTTGTCTGCTCGTGAAAAATGACTGTATAACTTAGGTATATTTGAGGTATATTTTAGGTATATCTTAGGTACATTTATGTATATGTGGGTTCTGCCCGTGAGAAACGATCTGCTCGTGAAAATATCTCGAGTGTAGATCTTAGGTATATTTTATGTATATGTGGGTTTTGAAATCGATTTCGAGAAACGATTGAAACTCGATTGTATATTTAAAGTATATTTTATGTATATGTGGTATCGTGAACTTGAATTACGTGAATCTCGATTGTGTATTTTATGCATATTGTACGTATATTTTATGTATATGTGTGTTGTGCAACTTTGGTATATACCCGCAACATATACCCGCAACGTGTAAATTTTTCATACCCGAAATATACAAATTTTCATATCGATACATATACCGAAAATATACTATATATAACCACAACATATACCCGCAACAAGTACATAATATAACTATCTATCAACAAATCAAGCACACCAAGTGTTCGACAATTATCCTCTAAGAAGTTTTTTGTTAGAACAGATAGAAAAAAAGTACATAGTAAACATATATTGTACATATACTGAACATATATTGCAAATGAACTGAACATATACTACATACAAGCAACATATATTGCCGATTGCCTCGTGCCGCGAGTTAAAGAAAAAAAACAAAAAAAAATAAAACAAAGAAAAGGTAAACAGGTTTAAAAATGGGCGCATCATCTTCGGTGCACGCCGTCTGAAGTCGTTGATGTCCACCACAAGCCGCCTGAAGTCGCCGACGACTCCCGATTTCTCACCTCGACGGCGGACGATAAATGATAGAGCACGGATCCAACTCAAGTACCGTCTTCTCCACTCTAATCGGCAGATCCTTCCCATCAATAACGCCATTAAAAAGCTCCAGAAACTCCCAATTCACGAGCCCGCTGTCTCCGTCCCCTTCTTGTGAGTCCTCCATCTCCGCCGTCAACCTTCAGAATCGCTTCGTTCGCTACTTATTCATGACGCATACAGAGAATGGAAAATCCATCTCCGATCGTTATCCTACGCCGCCATAGACGTCTCCGAACCCGCCTCCGATTTCTTTCTCCTCAGCCCGGGCAGAAGAGAAGCCCCGTTTCCATTCGGACCTCTACGCCGTCGGATCAGCCACTGGCATCCCGTTGGCCGGCCATCCAATCGACACCCGGGGCGGTGGGGGCTCCCTCGCCCTTCCCGGCGGAGGAAAATTTCACCTCAGGGTTCGATTTATCATAAAAAAAATAGAGAAAAAATTTTAACTTGAAGAGAAAATATAAACATAAAGTTGTAGAAGAAGAAGAAGAAGAAGAAGAAGAAGAAGAAGAAGAAGAAGAAGAAGAAGAAGAACCTGTGGGGATGGTGAACGTGGGCGGTGGGTGCTTTTTTGTTGGAGAGATATTATCTTCACCGTAAAATCAGCAACTTCCTTAGTTATCCCAATTAATTTAAACGGTTACTCTTAGGTATATCTGCAATATTTTAGGTTGATTTTAGTACAATTATAAATATTTCCCTAATAGGTGTATAATTATAATATATTTGGAATCTTGAAGTAGAGGGTGCAAATTCCTCTTAATTAATCTATTACTAGCATTCATCTAACTAAGAAAATATCCTCGACATGTCTGAAATTTTAGAACTCTACATAATTAAACTAGCAATTGAGCCATAATAGTTGGTATAAAAAATCTTGCACTATTGAATTATGCAATTTCATTCTACTTTTTTCTACCCGCACATAATTAATCATACATGATCTTAGGGAGTGTATTCAATTGAGATTCTTAAGGATTTTTAAAATTTTTTTAAATTTGGTGACTTTTGTGGACTTTGTAAAATTTTCATGACATTGGTGAACTTTTTGAGACTTTCAGAGAATTCTCATTAATGGCTTTTTAAGACTTTCATAATGGACTTTTTAAAACTTATTGAGACTTTTATATATTTGTAGTTATAATATTATGTTTGAATGAAACATTAATAAACGTGATATAATAACTAATATCAAGAAGAATAAATGAAAAAAATATTATATATATTAATCCTCTAAAAAATTCTGAATCAATCCATTATTATGCGAAATGAGTTATTCACGAACAAATTGTTTAAGATTTTATATTTATTAAATGAGCAAATCGATCCAAGATTCAACGAGTCGAACTATGGAAGATACAAATATTGTCGAAATACAGTAATTGTATCTTATAAAGTTATCAATAATATTCAAAATAATTCAATATCAACAAATAAACTATTAGAAAATAATTTTGTTTTTAATATTTAAAAATAAGCATTGACAAAAAAGAGAGAACAAATAAATTATTTGCAAGTGCAAACCATGGAAGCATTTAAACTTTGAAAAGTCAAATTCACAAGATAGCAAAATGAGAGAATAAAGGTATACATACATAAAATAACCATAATAAAAAATCTATTAGATAAAGATCACGTTAAATATACGTAATGAAAATAAAAATTATACAAGGTATCAAAATAAATGAGTAAAATAATAGAGCATGAAAGTGATAGGAGATACAAAGTCGTGTTAGAAAGAAAAAAAAAGAGCGTGAAGAGATTCATATATGTCCATCAAAACTCACCAATATTGATGAGATTTCTGTTGGAACTTTCTCTTTGTAATTTTGTAAGAAAAGTCTCTAAAAATCTCACGACTTAAAAAGTCTCATAAAGTCTTTCTATTTTGAATACATGGTGAGTTATAGAGACTCTCAGAAAGTTTTAATTGAATACCTTGAGACTTATAGAAACTTATAAAAAGTCTTTAAGAGTCTCAATTGAATACATGTAAACTTTTCAGAAGTTTCTAAAAGTTCTAATTGAATACACCAGAACAAGTCTTAAAAAGTCTCTAAAAGTTTAAATTGAATACACGCTTTGATTATTGAACTAAAAAACCGAATTAACCTTGGCTCTTAATTAAATCTTAATGGCATGATTGGTATGATGGAATGGAATTTCGTAGGAATTGAATGAATTGAAGAATGGAATAATTATGGGAATGAAATGAAACGTGTTTTTCACTGATACGTTTGGTATACAGAAGGAATAAGACTGGAATGGAATGACATTATCATTTTTAATTATAAAATAAATAAAATATTTTTATAAAAAATAATATAATTTTAATAAAGTATATATAAATGTTTTTTAATAATATATAAAAATAAAATAATATATTTTTAATAATATAAAAAATAATATATTTTCAATAATATATAAAAACAAAATAATATATTTTTAAATTATATAAAAAATAATATATTCTTAAAAGTAATATATTTTTAATATATAAAAATAATATATTTTTAATATATAAAAATAATATATTTTTAAAAATATATAAAAACAAAATATTATTTTTAAATTATATAAAAAATAATATATTCTTAAAAGTAAAATATTTTTAATATATAAAAATAATATATTTTTAATAATATTTAAAAATAAAGAGTAATATATTTTTAATAATATATATTTTCTTTTTAATTAAAAAGTAAATAAAAGTAAGTTTTTAATTTTTTATTTGAATTTTATTTTTTAAAATAATATATTTTTAATAATATTTAAAAATAAAGTAATATATTTTTAATATTTTTTAATAATATATTTTTAAAAGTAATATATTTTTAATAAATAAAAAATAATATATTTTTATTAAAAAATAATATATTTTTAATATATAAAAATAATATATTTTTAATAATATATAAAAATNNNNT